TATTACTTACCGTTTTCAAGTTATAAATTGCGCAGGTATGAAAAATGCCAGCCCCCCCTTGTAGTTTTGTCCTGCAAAGAGGGCGACGGAGGGAGCTACACGGGCACGCCCAAGTAGCCCTCCGCAGCGGACGGGGGGCGGTACGGTGGGCATTAGGCCGCGTACTCAACCCGCGGGTGAAAGTGAAGTGCGCGGGCCTACCTGCGCACGTCTGCGGGGTCCCCGTGGTACCCCGGGAGACCCCTGCCGTGGAGCCCCGGCTGCGGAGACGCGGAAGAATCCCTAAACGGGGATCCCGCGGCTTCGCGCTAAGCAGCTTAGAGGGTATTCGCAGGACTTTTTTAGCGGAGATTTTTAGCCGTAAAGCGCCCGTAAGAGTTGCGGGGTCCTCGGTAGACAGCCACTGGGGCGCCCGTAAGACTTGCGGAAGCCAGGTGTGAGGTCCGTTCGGCGGTGTGCCTCTTAAAGGCGCCGTCGTCTGTAAATAGCATCTTTTACCTGCGTTATATAAAAAAAAGGTATGAAAAATCCAATAGAGCGGTTTTGGGAATTTTCCTCCAAGGGAAATTTCGCCACTGCTTGCTCCAAAGATTTATTAAGACTCAATGTCGCCGTGTCGTTTTTAGAACAAGTTGAAAAAAAGAAAAGTTTTTATGTAATAGTAGGTATTTATGGCCAGACTAGTTATATATCAAAGTATAGAAATCTGTCTGATTGACAGTGCCGTCTTTGACCTATTGGAGGCCCTGGTCATATTAGGATAATGGTATGACTTCCGTTTGGTGATTTAACAGGAACTAGGGACTTTGTATTTGATCTGAGGGGGCCTCCTATCGATCGCGGGGCCCTGGGCACTTGCCCAAAGTGCCCACTGGGAAAGACGGGTTTGCTGATTGATATTGTGTTGTGATATACCTAATGTTTCATGTAGGTGTGTTTGTGTAGTGTGTTAGTGTGTATGACGAAACAGCCGCGGATGATGGAAAATCTGACTTTCCCTAGGCCAGAAGCTGGGTACGCCCATTCCCGCGAGTGCCGTATCATCCCTTTTTGTATTAATCTAAGGTAAGCTGTCATGCTCTGTATTAGCACTCATCATATTTTTTAAATTGATGTTTTTACATACACTCACACACACACACACACACACACACACACACACACACACACACACACACACACACGAACGCACGCACAAACGCACAAACGCACGCACACACGCACGCAAGCATACACACACACACACACACACACAGACACACACAACCACGCACACACACACGCGCACACACACACACACGCGCACACACACACACGCACACACACACACACGCACACACACAATGCGTGGCTGCATAATCGAGATCCGTGCTTGCTAAGCTGATTGTCGGGTTAAAAGAGAGCAATTCCCATCAATTCCCATTTACAAGCACCAAGGAGTCCGGAAAATTATAGCCCGTTTTCTCTTTAGTTATTTTTTCCAAAATACTAGAGACCATCATCAACAACGGAAGACGCAGTCGCTAAAGTTGTAAATATTGTTGCAAATCAGCTTGATCAAGGTCTTAAATGTATAGGCGTCTTCTTAGACCTCTAAGAACCATTAAGTGGGAAGTGATAATAATGGTAACTAGTTTGTCGTAAATTTTTCTCATTTCTGACTCAAATTCCTATGCTAGGAGTTTCTCGGGCATACAGCTCCCTCCCATGGCAGCTGGGCGACTTCGAGCATATTAACGAGGTCGCCAAGTAGAAGTGGCAGGGAACGGCGGGGCACATAGTTCAGCAGATGGGTGAACTTTGGGATCGCAAAGGTGAAAGAGTGTCAATGGCAGCCTTGTACGAAATACGGTGTTGGTACTTAAACAGTGTCGTCTTTGACCTATTGGAGGCCCTGGGCATATATGAGAAAGGGCCCCCATGACCCCCGTTTGGTGATTTAACAGGAACTAGGGACTTTGTATTTGATCTGAGGGGGGCCCCTATCGATCGCGGGGCCCTGGGCACTTGCCCAAAGTGCTTAATGGAAAAGAGGGATCTGTACCTAAACCTTTCTCAGGGTGGACTGAGAACTGACGACATAAAGCGAGACGAGAGAAGCCACTAGATCCGGCAAGCGTAAGGTAGTAGTATGTGAGACTCATGACTGACTGGCTACTAGATCCTGTTAACCATTGTACGTGGAGGTCTGAAGAGGGTCTTTTTAGTCCAGTAGTGGTATGAGGATTATAATGATGATGAAAATATTAATATAAGCTCAAATAAAAATCTTTGTCGCACTATCCGCAAATAAAATGCTGTATGCCAGCTCTTGTGTTCCCATCCACCTATAAGCCAAGATACAGACGTCAAGAATATGCAGGCTGGCAAAGTAAGGCTGGCTGGTGTGGCAGGTAGAAATGCTGTACTAGCTATATCCGCATCTTGACTTCACCGACACTCAACATCAGGTGGAGTCATCTGTCGGAATTATTTATAACAAAAAATAAGGATATTTTCTGAAGGGCAGAGCATGTGTTGGAGACCTGGAAAAGGTGTGAGTCAGTCAGTCGTGGTTAGTAGGTACCTATGACACAATAATGAGATTATTTCTCATGTTTGAAGTTAATAAAACAAAAGAATAGTTTTCTTCATTCTTTAATGCATTTTTTTCTAAATTTCTTGACAGCGATGAGCACTTTTGGTGAAATTAGATACAAGAAATCAGTAAAATACTCAATAAATAACAGTCCAGATCGTAAAAAAACATTTGGTTTGATAGGTTTTTACTTACATCCAGTAGTTCAACTTCACAATAAAAATAGATCTCTTCTATAAAATTTATATAATTTACAAAAGCAGTATGTTAAGTAGACAAAAACAACTGTAAATAAATGCTTCTGGAGATTAAACGAATAATATTTTCACTTTGTAGATAAATTGACAGACAGTCACTTCGCTAAGACCAATTTTGTATATAAATATCTTACCAGTACAAAGTAACTATTGGTGTTAATCGAAAAAACTGAGAACTAGGCTGCGTCCATCTACAAGTAAGCTACTGCGTATTGGTTCGTCGTTCATTAACTATATTTTGGCTATAAAGTCAACATTTGCAAAACCACCGTTACAAATTGTCATGACACTATAAGAAATAGTCAACGATGATTCGTGCCAAGAAGACGCCTGCGCGGCGGTCGGCTCGGCGAGTGATCTCAACATCGCTAGGATATGTTAATCATATTACCTAATTTATATCTAACTTAAAATTATTTAAAACGTTCGAAGCGAATGCGTAAGCTGTCCATAAGTCGGGAGTTGTCAACTAAAGTGGCTATTGAAGTAGTAAATGATACGAATCGTGTGTTAAAAAAGAAGCATGTATCGATTCATGCGCAGTCCTTCTACGTCTACATGAGGTCGCCGAGCCGAAGGCCGCGGGCGCAGCTCCCCCCTTCTATCACATAACGTAATTCGTCCGAATTTGTTAACGCTCCGGCCTACTTACTCCTACGAAAATGATCGCTATTATCGACAATAAATTATTTATCATTCACCTACAATTAAAAACAAGGTATGAAGTGTAGTAGTGCATCGAGAACCGAGACGAAGACCCGCGTGGCGAGCGCTCGGAATAATTGACTGGACTGCTTACCACAAAATAGAAGGTACAGACAGATGTGCTGCTGCTCTATATAGATATAATAAGCGCGACGCACGCACACAGATGCCGCAAGGGCAGGCGGGTTTAATGTACAACGCGCAAGCACAACGGACGATCGTAAGTCCCCAAAGGTTTGAGGGCTTACTAAATATCCTGTACGTTTCTATTTTGCGGGTTCGGCGCTGGCAGCACCGTATTGTGTCGCACGCACCCCGCTAACGAGCGAGATGGATCATTAATTTTCTCCTTATCTTTATCTTCCTCTAACTGTTCAAGCTCTTCTTGTATTGACATCCTATATATCCTGTATTACGAAACAGAAAATGTAACACACCACTCTCGTTCGTTCGCTTGGTCCGCAGTCGGCACTTACATTTCCAACAACAACGCTAGGCAAATCCTCGACTTACAATATTTACATAAAGAAACGACTCTCAAAAGATTCGAAGCGCTACTGATTCATCTCTACTTAGGAAACTGAGAGAGTTGTTTGCGCTAATTATGTCAATTATCGGTAGATATAACTACTTATAATTAAAATGAAGAAAGCAACCGTGTGCTATAAGAATCGCGCGTGTGGCTTGATTATTGTGCGTCGCTTGTGCAGTCCATGAAACGAGAAACGAGTGAGCCGAAGTAGCTACAGGTCAAACATATGAGCGTATTTTCTATAAGTATAAGAAAATAATCAGAAAATGAACGTTAGATATCAGTTACGCTTACGATCCGCCCGTTTGCCCTGTAACCAACAGCAGCTGCACCGATCCCGCGCCGTGCGGCCACGGGCCAAGCTCTACACTCCTCGCGATCCAACATCTAACTTTAATAAACAACTTCAAATATAATAATCTCCAATTCGTGATTATCAGGAACGTTTATATTCATCGAACGTTTATAATATCTCCGCGATCGAATATTCCCCATCAACAACAGAGGTCTATTTTCATACGCCAACAAAGCATAAAATAGTGATATCTTTACATTTCAGTCTAGTCTATATAATTATTTTTCTCTTTTAATGGCAAGGTATCTCTATAAAGATTCAATAGTATCATTCTCAATATATAACAGGTATAATCTATACAATCAGAATACGTCGCGTATTCGTCGATCCCTCACAGCATCAATGATATAAAATTTAACCTAAATTATAACACAGGAGAATTAAGTATAAGATCACAAAATGAGATTCAGCGGGCGGCGCGGGGCGTGCGCGCGCGCGCCCGGCGAAGTCGCAGCTATAATACTCGTGTCTACGCTACAACTAGCGAGGCGGCGCCGCGCGGGCGCTGGGCTCGCACTAAGCCTAGTATTGCTATCGGTCGGCCGCGGGGCGGCACTAGCACAGGGTGCGGCGTCAGGGCGCGATGCCGGCGTCGGACTTATGGAAGGCGGCGGTGGAGGCGAGGTGGGGCCCCTGCGCCGCGCTGAAGTCGTGCTCGGACTTGGGGCGCGGTAGTGCGGCCGCCGCTACGCCGAGCCCTGGCAGCGCCACGCCCGCCATGCGGCACGACGCCGCCTGCAGCGGCTGCAGTGCCAGCCCCAGCGAGCGCTCCGACAGCCGCGCTACGCTGTCGTCCGACAGGCTCACGTGCTCCGCTTCCGCGGCCAGCGCGTTCACCACGGCGTTGATCGTGTTGCCCTCCGACGTGGTGTCGTCCTCACGGTGCGCCACCAGGTTGGGGTTCTTGCCGATCTTGTTCAGCCGCTCGGCGGCGACGCTCTCCATCGTGCGCCGCATCAGCGGGTACTGGTCGAGAACGGCGTTAAAGTGGTCCACGGACAGGGAGAACAGGTTGCAGTAGGTCTCGGCGCGCACGGAGGCGACGCGGCGTGCGTTAGTCAGCAGGCAAATCTCGCCGAAGTAAGAGCCGTCCGATAAGCTCGTCGCCACCTCACCGTTCGCCATCACTATATCCACGATGCCTTCTTGGATAAAGTACATTTTGTTTCCGATGGTTCCTTCTTTTATAATGATATCACCTGAAATTATATAATGTTTTGATTAATTGTCAGTCAAATAAATAAAAAAAATACTTAATTAATACAGTTTTTAATGCTATTGTTGACAATGTTTTCTTGCAAAATTACATTTTTTTTTCATAAAAAATAATAATTATAGATTTGTGCATATATCAAAGTAGGTCGTTAACAAAGACGCATCTACGCAATACGGTGTTACTAACCAGGTTGGAAGACTTCGTAGCGTAACTTAGTGACGACGTCCGATACAAAGTTTGAATCGGCGTTCGCGAAGAACGGCACCGAGGCGACGAGTGACCGGCAGTTGTAGTTGATGACGTCTTCCCTGAGCTTCTCGCTCAGCTCACCCAAGATCAGCTCCTCGTCGAAGAACTTGCCCTGGTACCGGTGCTCGAAGTACTCCGTGATCCGCTGACGCATCTCTCTTGGCAACTTCCGATACGCCATATACTCTTCCACTTGTTTCACCTGAAATTTTTTACAGCGAGAGTGAAAGGACTGATCATTTAAAAAGGGAATCCAGTGATGAGCTGTTGGTGAGCTAACCCTTCAGCTTTGATTGAACCAAGTGATTTAAATATTAATTAACTATCTTCAACAAAAAAATCTCCTCATCACTATATTGTAAATACCGAAGCTACCACATTACACATCAACGCAAAGGCCTAGTGTACTGCAAACTCCAAATCGTGCTTCAATTTATTGTTAGGAACAAGATAATAATCCGTAACCTACTACACACAGTCTTGATGAACCCTATAAGAATTGCAGCGGATGATATTGTTAGTGCGTCCCATGAGAAAACAGTTATAGAACACCCTGTGATGCTTATATGAATGAATGAGGTTTCAGTGCGATATGACTCCGAATAGTATGGACGTCCAAAAACAACAATGACACACGGACAAACATTTTGCTCTGTACTCACGTCTAATCTCTGAAACAGGCAATTGAGACTTTAGTTGCGGGTAATAAAACAAACTTTTAAAATGCCTATTTAAAAAGCTTGTACTTGGTGGTGATTGACTGATAAGTGTAAAAGCAGTTACTGAAGTGTTAAGTGATAAAGACAATAGTTCTCTAAGGCTTGCCTGTCATAAGTTTTAGACATCGCTTACGACGGTGTCCATAACGGTTAAAGCAATGTAGTTTAGCTTACATTGACAATAATTTCTTATGGAGTTCATCAAGCTTTAGTCGTTTAAATCTTTTCCTGGAAATTCATGTGACAAAACTATTCTGTACATGTACATATTTCTAGGTATCTAGTTATATTTCCTTAATATTTTATATAATGCAAAATTCCTGCCCCTGGGGATGCTGGTCAGCTGTCCATGTATTTACCTAGAATTCCTATTTTATTAACTGATAATTAATTTTAGTTAGTATAGTAAGGTTTTTGATCTACGAGTAAAGCTTTTATTTACTTTAATCAAAGTCTATATACATATATTGTGAAAAGCTTACCTTTTCTCTGTATTGCCTTCTTGAAGAATCGAGCGACTGTATGAGATTGGTTGCGTGTCCGAGGAAGAGCGCGTAGCAAGTGGCGCCCGATATCATCGAGAGCATGGTCAGCCACATGTCCGTTAGGGATTGTGGCGGGAACCGTCCGTAACCGATGCACAGCATGTGCGACATCGCCTTAAACAGCGCCCACGAGTATTGTTCTAGCCAGAATGCCTCCTGGAAGGTCATGGGGAAAATATTATTTATAATTAGGTGATATTCAGGTAATAAAAATGCTTAGATAGAAAATTCATGAACACAAAATAGATCAATATGTAAATTACCTGTAATTCGTTAATTGCAACCCAAGAGTTAGCAGGGAATCCCTGTAGCATAGGAACGAGGAACTGAAGACAGCCAGACCAGTGGCCGATTAACAACATCATGCAGATTAGATTGAATATCCGCATGAACACCGACGCCATGTTGAGAAACTGCGAACAGAACGAGAAACATTAATCGTCTATCCAATTTTAAGCATCGCCTCTAAAGGAAGCCGTGCGGACTGCGCGCGACAAGGACGCTCGAGATCAAGCATCGCGATGATTCTCTATCGATGAATTGGTAAAGTAGTGAAAAATAAAATATGAACGCGTGAAACGAGTCGTCGAGCGAGCATGCGTGGTGGCGGCGCGGTGGGGTCGCGCGGCCGCTGCCGCCCGCGGTCGCGCGACCCGCCGCCCTAGCGCCTACGCCCGCGCGGCCGCCGGCAGGACGAGGGTCGGAAACAGAAACGTCAAAGAAAGAGAGTAAGCGAAGCGTATGCAGACTAGGACGCCGGGCGGCGCCACCGGCAACATGCTAAGCGGGCGAACGAGCACATGCGCGCCGGCTCGTGCCGACCCTGGTTACCTTGAAGATCAGATTGCTTTTGGTGTGACCCTTCTTTTTGGCAACATCGGAGCTGAGCCGCCCCCTCCGTTCCGTGCGCTTTTTTTGAAGGTTCTGCAAGATCTAGAAAACAAGCGAGAAACACGAGATAGTAGGAAGAGAGCCAGGCGCGCCTGGAGCGCGGGCAAGGTCGCCGAGCGAAAGAGTTCGCGAGGTGTGCGGGGCGAGCGGGGCAGGGCACGTGCGGGCACACACAGGATGCACTAACACCGAGACGAGCGGGACGCGGGCTAAGCCCCTACTAGGCTAGGGAGCGCTGAGGGCGTGGACGGTCATGCTGCACCTGCGAGGCGAGGTCACGGGAGCCGCCGTCCGCGTCGCTCGGCTCGTCGCGCGGCTGCGGGGCGGGGCTCATCTGCACACAACACCGTCACTGCGATGTCGTCACTGTCCACCCCGAACTCCACTTCTCACTGAATCTCCGCTTCGTTTTCGACGTTTCATTTATGCTACTCTACTGACCGATTCTCACTCTTTTTGTCATGACATTTCATTTAAACCGATTGATATGATTTTATACTAAGATGATACTGGTAAAACTATTTCCTTATGTGTGCGAAACGTGTTTTTTGGAGTGCTCGTTTCTACGGTACCTATTCTTAACGACCGCATTTTTAGTTGTGTTTGTAAACGTTAAGAGGTATATGAATTTTCGGCGTCAGCGCATCAATTCTAAAGGCTCGAAAAAGCGGCAACACAATAATTAACATTTTCGCAAATAATATTTATGTTGGCTAAGGGGGACGGTTCGGGTCGGCGGACACGGTGTTCGCGGCGCGGTCGCAAAGAGAAGAAACAGAGTAGACGTCACTTGTGAGAGCGTGCTCAGGCAGAAAGAAGCTTGCAGAGAAGCAGTAGAGAAGTGCAGAGCGGGACGTGGGCTCACATACAGTGGGGGTGGGATCAATGGTATATTACAGGATTACAACACAACTCCATTTACGTCATTAGGATCACTACGGCTAGAACATTTTCAAATAATTAACATCACGTTATTTCTCATTAGTTTTCAGATGTAATCACCAAAAATTCTCATTATCTTCAAGGTCGTTATTCATATAAAATTTATATTCATCATATTAAATATATTATTATTTATAGAAACAATATAGAAAATTTTAGTAGTATAATTTTAGTTATGTGGTGTTAGTAAATGTGAGCGTAATGTTGTAAGAGCAGTGTTAGGGTCATTTAGTCAGTAGCAACCCAATGTGGGTTAAAAGAGATGATGGCTTACATATACTTCCTCCCATTGGGACACATATCGGACGAGTCTTGATAACCGTAGCAGTCGCACGAGAGAGAGAAGCTTCGCTAACCGGAGTATCCTTAGCGCTCGACCCGCGTGGAGGATTTGAAAGCTTTCGCTAAAGTCCTGTTAACACGAACAAAAATATTAATATAATTTACCATACATCAAATTACTCTAAGAAGCTTTTGAACAGAATCGAGATGGGAAGGAATTTTTTTACAATTGAAGTGAAATCATGCACTTGCTGATTTTGAAAGATTACATGTCATCAGCCAAAGAAAAGTGCTTAAGCGTTACAGTCAATCATGTTATAATTATGTTTTTAACATTTCTTCTGTTAATAAGTATCAAGTGGGCCATTGTCTATTAATCTGTGAAAGCTTATGTAAGTTTTGATCTATCAACAGTCTGTGGCATTCTATAAATTAAGCTTCTTTACGAATGTTATCTAAAATATGTAATATTGCTTTGCCTGTTAGTGTAAATCTGTTAGAATAAAAAAATGTATTACAATTTGGTCGTGTTGTATAATAAGATAAATAAAACAAAATCCAAGTAAGTAGGTGATACAATTTGATTTAGTTTTGTAGCTAAAGATATCCAAACAGAAATCAACCAGTTAATAGAAAGCTTAACCTCTTAAGCGGCAAGGAGCGCTTGGCCGCGCGAGAGGATATAATAGAACATGCTTAACGAAAGGTGAATTATATTTAAAAAAATAGTTGAGAAAAAGAAGATCTCAAGACGACGTGCAATATTACCAACGGTAAAAGACAGTAGTTAGTTACGCAGAAATGTATTAAGAATAGAAATGAGTTCGGTAATAACAGAGTGCAATTGGAGAAAAATTTATCAGTAGATGGTGCAGGAATTTGAAACGTGCTTGATTAAAACTTTGAGAGTATTTGGAAAGAAGTAGATATCCCATACGATATTAGTATTTTAATATGCTTCTCAGGAATATCGAGGAAAACGAACCCTGAGGAATCATATGGGTTACCAAACGTGCAAGTAATATAGACATTGTGATGTGGGTTAATAAAGATAAAACTTTTTTGTTGAAGAATGAAACTAGTGAGCGACAATCAAACCTTTTAAACATGTATTGTTTTCATTAACCCCTAAAGTACAAAAACCGAACACGATGGCGTAGGTTCTCGTGGCATTTGGGTAAGAATTCACAATGGGAAACCAAAATACACAAACATAAACAACAACAACAAAATAATATTGCCTATTAAACAAAGGAACACCCAAGCTGAAACAGAATCAATAACGTAAAAGACAGGTTTAAAACTAGTAATAAGTAACAACACGGCCAAATTGCAACGTACGTTTACCTGATTGAAGATCAAAAATATATAATCTAGTGGTATACTAGAGATGAGGTCAAGGAAGAACCATGTCCTCAAATAGTGCTTCGCTATTAACTTGGGATCTAATATCACTTGCTCTGCATTATCTTGCTGCATTATTCCTGAAATAAAAAGAAACAAAGAGTCCTCAATTTCAAGTTCTTCTATTATAAAGGAGTCCCACGGATTTTTCACACGGAAGGAAAATATATTAAATATTGAGGATAGAATATTTTACTGAAAGAAGACATCATTTTATTTTTAATAATAAGTAGAACTGCATTCATAGTTTTAAAAAAATCGCCTGCCAAAACCGGGATTCAAACTCGTAAAATGTGAAAAAGAATATAAGTATTTAATAATAACCGTCGAAAGGGTAAATCATGAGGATTACTTGTTCCTTAATAACATAGCATTTTAATGAAAGAAAAGTCACGAAATTTGTCTTTTTTTTTAATAATTGAACACAAACTACATTAAAGAAGCATCGGTGCTAGGTGTGTATAAGTATCGCTTTATTATTATTTTCACGTACTTATAGTATTATTAAGTGAGCAGATACTAGTTAGTAAATATTTTGAAATGATAACATCAGCTGTTGGAAGCACGGAAAAGTAAGAGTAAATTTTCCTGAACTAAATTTTAATTTCATGATCTACCTTTTATTTAAAATTCTATGTTATTTAGGAAAAAATAATCCTTATGATTAATTAACCCTTTCGAGGGTTATAATAAAATACGTCATATGTTTTTTTTCATATTTCTCGAGTTTCATTCACAGTTGTAGCTATCGATTTAAAAAAAAAACTGAATGCAGTTATAGTTATCTTCAATATTTAACATACTTTCCCTCCGTGTGAGAAACCCATGACACGCCCTAAAGAAAATATCATATTTTATTTGATATTTTCAAACTTGAATGTTCCCTTTAACTTAAATAGTTTGCGAGTGCGAAATGTCAATGTCAAATTTTGTATGGAAGCTTGAACAGCAAAATCAAAAATTTTATTGAATGGAATTGAACAGCAGCGCAACAACGGACGTAACGAGAACTTGAAATCAGTACACATTTGACAATGACATTTCGCACTCGCAAACTGTAGCCTTAGCACGAACTAATATCGAATTCGAAGAGTTTGCGAGTGCCAAATGTCATTGTCACATTTCATATGGAAACTTGAACAGCAACGCCACAACAGACATAACGAGAACTAAAACTCAGTACACATTTGATAATGACATTTCGCACTCGCAAAGTATTCGAATTCGATATTGGTTCGTGCTAGGAGAACACAGTACTAGCGAGAGCACGCAAATTCGTTTCTCTAAAAATTTCACCCCTTTTAAGAGTTATTTGCGCAACAAAACAGTGAACCTACTTGTATCAGGTTCACTGGACATTTTTACATTGGGACGGATAGCCTTAGTTTGAGTTACTTTTGCATTTATTATATTTTATACGCAATACGGGGCTAAAATGGACACCAGATGGACTATTTTAAAATAAGGCTATAAAAAAACTGACGACGGAGTTGTTAATCATGCCAAAAACCTTTGACTTAAAAAAAAAGAATTACTTTTAATAAGCTTACCTGTTCTAAAATTAACAACGATATCTATAAGGAATATGGTGTCTGAGAGACAATTGAAGGCAATCCATCGCGTGCTGAGGTCGTCGTTGAAGAAGGAGATGGCAACTGGTAGAATGATCAAGTTCGCCACTAGGAGCAGTAGCATACAGAGATCCCAGTAGAACCTGCAACAATAGAAAATGAATGTTGTCAAATCGTTTTCGAAGCATTGATATTCTTACGGGAATGACCTATGCTATATAATATTGTTATTTTTCACCTGTATTTTCTTGGGTTTTTTATAATAAATTATTATTTTATCTAAAGATTTTTTTACCAGTACAAATTTAACCCGATCTATCTAGGTAAATGCGCTGATTGCTATGTTACATTTTTTTTTGTAGCTTCAGATTGCAAAGAAGCGTCAATTCATCATATTACACTAAATTGTCTAGCGAAGCTATTCAGCGGATACGAATCCTGAGTAGTATTTTTTGTATAAATATTGTACATTATTATTAATTATAAGAATATAATGATATTTTTTAAAGATTTTTTTTCTAGAAACAGTCCATTCTCTCTAGGCACAAACGCCTAGACCGAATAATTTAATTCTAAAAAAACTTTAGTTTATAAATCTAGCAGTTTGATGCTTAAAATAGCAATAATATAAATTAATTGTTTTGTCAATTTACCTTTAGATTTTCCTATTATATTTATGATACCTGTATTTTAGTACTTATCTTATTATAATTAATCGCGTGTCGTCTCAAATTATGTGGTATGGTTAAATTTTGTAATATGTTCTTGTCATAAAGTAGGTACGTTCAGTTAATTGGAAGTTTCCCAGTAAAGTTCGCTCAACGACCGACGACGTCGCTGACTTACCAAGTTCTTCGTACCAAGCCAATCATTATTCATAGTAAAGTGAAAGATTTGGTAGCTCTTTTTAAATATGCTTGGGATCCCAGACCGCAAAGAGCTAACTCTAGTTGAATTGAAGTTAATAAAATTCCTGTCAGCAGTTTTTATATTTCGCCTATAATTTATCTATATTTTTATATGACACATACACACGCGCTATTTTCCCATCCAATAAGAAACCCAAAGGTCTTAGATTTACTTTGCAAGACTATGGAAGATACAGAACTATATCTTTGGCCAAATGTCGAGATAAGGCACTGACCTCTTGTTATTTATTGTCACTGATGAGAACAGTGTAGTAGTTACTATGCCAGTCTGGCGCCTAGGACAACATAAAATCTATTTTGTTAGTCGAAAAACTTTTAGGATCCGTAGGATTACTATGTAATACAATATTCCGTGTTGTTTACGTTCTTAGCCTTAGGTAACTGTATACGCAATAGATTATATAAACAGTAAACTAAATATGTAGGTATATCGGAATACACAACAGCTACGTTACTGTATTGCAAAACAATGACACCAAAATAATTCCGATGTTCGACAAGGAATGGTCGAATCGGAAGACATAAATTCAACATCACAAACCGGTGCCGGCCAGAATCCAGTGATCTGGCTACAAAGCGACAGTTTAGTAGCAAATTGCTCGTTAATTCTATTGGACAGGTGACTAATCGAATGGTTACATTGTGGGAGGAAAACTCAGTCTCATAGTTTTGCGAACCAATAAATACGCCACAGGAATGCAGTCTTTTTTAATAGCGGCAGCAGATTAATGCGAATTACGAGTATAAAATAAAAAAAATACACACCTTCATACTGACAGCATGTCACTATTATACTATAAAAGTATAATAGTGACTACTATTTAACTGAGTATCTTAAAATAAATAATCTTAAATGTCAATTTTACTATCATTTAATTATTTTGGTGAAATAGAATAAAGTTTTTTTTTAAATTGTGTAAATCTAAATCTACAGTCAATCTACACACGGCATGAAATCTACAATTCCTAAACTTAGGAAAGTCCAGGGTTTTATAAAAACTTGGCTAAAAGCGGCATTTCTTAATTGAGTTTGGCAGGTAAAATTAGTTTGCCCTATAGTGTCTAAGTTTTAGAAGACAAGACAGCTGTTGTAAAAATGTGAAAAAAAAACTGCAAGTCACATAGTTTCTTAGTAGACACTTAAATATAATAACGGATTCAGTTGTTTTAATAATTATTTAAGTATATTGTTTTTCTGATTCCAGACAAATGAGGTAATCCAGAATTCAAAAAATAGACTTTGTATCATACTCCATACATTCGTTGGTGTAAAAGTTATTGCCTATAGGTATTGGTTGGTTGTCGTCAAATTCAATGACTGGTTTATAGACATGGTTCACTCTCGAGATTGTCCTCATATTGTTTTTACTTATGATGACTAACTTCAACTATTTTGACTACATCGTATAAAACTGTACTTATGGGAGGTTTTTTTTTAAATTTTATGGGGCCTCAATTATATTTATTCTGAGTAAACGCAGACATCACCTTTATATTTATGTCGCAAATCTGTCGCGATGTCAACATATCCACATAACTAGTCCCAATTACCTGAGTGAGTGGCGAATTCATTCGCAATTGCTCGAGTGATCTCATACGGTTTAATCCAACTGTAATGATATCCTCCGCGTAAATAAGTACTTCAATGGCCCGGTCATGATCATTTAATCGAGTGTTTGAATCGCGTGCTCTACTCAACTGCATAAATACAAAATCCGAATGCTCATTCGTCTGTTAAACACTCTTTAATACATATCTTAGTTTTTACGCTAAAAAGAGTCTGTGCCATTTTCATTTGTGATAATGGCAAAGGTAGTGTATTCTTAATTAAAATGATCTCAGAAGTCTATTGCATCATCATAAACACCAGATTGGTCGGTTCCGGTTTTTCTTAAGCTTTACACCATATTATTATATCCGAGTGCATTCACCAGAATGTCAAAGCAACGTGTAATGTTGCATATTTTTATGGTAGTATGAATCACCCAGTATTTATGCCGCATTTTGTTGGTTCAAAGCTATGAAGCATTAATGAGTGATCCACCTACGATAGATAAAGAAACTATAATGTTGATTGACTTTTACTGACGAATTAGCAGCTGGCATATTCTATCTAGTCCAGCATGGGCTGTGTGTGTAATTAATTTAAGATAGGTAAGGCATGGCGGATTTCCCACTCGAATTGGACCTTTAGGGTTGCCACCTTTTTTTTTGTTCAAATAAAGTACATTGGATATTAAAGGTAGAAATAAAAAGTACATTGTGTCCAAAATAAAGTACTTCTTATTCCTCTTTATCAGTAAGCTTAAAAATATATTTAATGTTGCTACTAGCAACTTTTAATTAATAATTTGTGGCTTCTACAAATCTGTTCTTTTCCGCAATGGGAAATTCCTAAGGGCGACATATTCATACTGTCTGGCCGTTTTACGCAAAAATCCTTCATCTCAACCTCTTTTTGTATATTTTATGTAAAATTAATTACTCGGGGAGTGATCAAATCACATTAAATAAAGTATTTTCGCGTACTTTATTGTTGGCATAAAGTATACAGTACAATTACCCAAAATAACGTACAATATAATAAAGTACGTGTGGCAACCCTATCCACCTTACATACGACCTCTTCTTCGATTTTTTGGTGGTGTTGTGTTTCTTTCGGTAAGTAAGGTTCCAGGGCTCCACGGGTCAGGGGATTGGGTCAGGGTGAACAACGCGTAAAGGTGCAAGTAATATTTTTTGTATCACAAGCGTCTATAAGCTGTGGTGGCTGCGTATCATCAAGCGGGCTTATTTGCCACTATTTTAACATAAAACAAAATTAATGGTCCTTAAACAATTATCCTTATAATTTTGTGGGAAAACTGAGTGACGTGGGACCATCGGTACTCTCTTTGCCCTCTTTGTAACACTATAATGAGTGCATTACTATAAATAGCAAATTGAATGGGTACAGTTGGAGCGATGACGTACTGTCACTTAAGATGATGATAAATGAAGGATTATCAACACTTTGATATCGAGGAGCCATGTATGACTGTAACGTAATTTATATTATGTAGGTATGTATGAGAACTTTCTTCTAACGAGAACGCGAACATACGGTATTTATAATGGAATGAAAATAAAATTTGTTCAAATTCACTTAAAGCTCTTTTGAATCGTCCTTATTTTTTTTTTACTTCCATCTGTTCTGGTCATCTTTTAGCTGGCTAATAAAATAATAATAAGCTAAACAACACAAAGAACACAAAAAAAATATATTTTATTTTAGTAAAATACTTCTAAGCTAGACACGCACGTTTAGGTAGGGCAGGGCAGTGCCTTTGCTAAGTCGAGCAAAAAAGCGGCACGACCGTAACTTGCATCCTTTTTCGAAACAGTTCAGGGCTTTTATTATTACACAATATGTTAAGACTATCACGACCACGCACATTTTTTTTAAACAATCCTTTACCGTCACAAAATTTGCATTTCAATTCTCTTTTGTAAACTGTACATAGGTACTGTATAATATGAATTTATTATGAACAACCATGGGAAATTCAGAAACAAGCTTTAAACTAAAGTATCGGAGAATACATGACGTATCTAGAAAAAGGTGGTATTTAAAACTAGATAAAAGCAAATATTTATTAAGCTATCAAAATCATTACTGAATCGTTCATATAATATATACTATTATTCTAACTTTTATGTGGTTATAACTCCACTATTTGTAAGTTTTATAAAAGTTTAACATTAGTTATTTAATTTTAATTTCAAATTGAGCCGTTGTGAAAGAAACGCCGAAACTGGGCCTGAGTAAGTTAAACTGACGACTATTTGAGCTGCGCTTTATGGTACCAAATTTAAAGTGCATTCATGAAAGTTAAGCGGTTTCGACTTCTTCTAGCTCCCAGCAATTTTATCAATGCGAAAAGATAATATTATGTCGGTATCTTTTTGGTTTATATAATTCTTATAACTTTAAACACGTCTGCATCTTAAATCAACGTTAAATCCCAGGACGCAGCACAGGCTGAGATTAGACCATTTCAGAAAAAAAATATGATTTATTTATGTACGTTGTTATGACATGAAATTGATGTGATGTTATTTTTGCTGAATATTTTTTATTTATTTCTTTCAAAGTGCCTCGAATTTGTAGCTTGTATTTTTTTTATGACAAGGTGACGAAACATTTTTAAATACTTTATCACCTACCAATATAT